CCTTGCCCATTCCTTAACTTCCATCCAACAAGTCAGTGGATATATATATATATATATATATTTATTTTTTCTTTCTGTGAGATGGTGTTTGTGCCCATGCCTATAAAAATAATATATTCCATGAGGAGCTTACTTCTACGGTCTTCCCAGCAATATTTTCACGCAAATCTTGTTCCTTGCCCATTCCTTAACTGATAGGGGAGAGCTCTTCAAATCAGTTGTGTTAGGTGGAAGAGCACAAATGCATCCTATTTAGAGGCATAGTGGACATCATTAACAACCCATATAATACAGTCCCTGACATAGACTGTGGTTATACATACCTAAACCCGCTGTTTGCATACAAACAGTGGGTTTAGGTATTGTAAATGTGAACAAGAAAAGAGCACCAAACATTCGTTTTGAGAGTCCAGAAACTGCTTTCTTGATTCTGTTGGGGACAAACACAGAAAACAAAGCACGACCAATGTGTAGCAGTGATTTGAATTGATTTTGAACCTTTAGAAATAATCGCTGGAAGCGACTCATTATTTGGAGCATCTGGGCCTAAAGTGGTCCTTCCACAGGAGGAACTTCAATCCCTCCGATCTCAGATTTGAACTCTCCAGTCCAGAAGTCACCTGACTCTCTGCTTTTGCATTGGAGTACTGAGCCTGAGGGTAGTGGATGCCAGTTCTATGTTAAATTGTCTTAAGAAGAAGTGGTCAATATGTATGTAGGTTTTATGGGGTTTAGAGATAAAAGTGTTCTCTTTAAGGCCTCATTCACACTGGAATCGGCCGGCACGTACAGCTCCGTGCTGCGTGCAGGGTCGTATCGAGCAGCTCCCGAGAAGGACAGGTGCTGCGTGTCATTAGTACTCAGCCCCTGTCCTTCTCTATGGGAGTACGCCCCCCTACGCTCACCCGCCCTGCACATCTGTGCGGGTGAGCGTACTCGTACACTGACAGGATGGATCCTGTCTGCTTCCGAGCCAGGACACACGCACCCCTACGGACCTGCACTTGAGGTGAGCATAGGGGGGCGTACGGCTGTGTAGTCCCATAGAGAAGGACGGGGGCTGCGTACTAATCACACATAGCACCTGTCCTTCCCGGGAGCTGCCCGACATAGCCCTGCATGCCGCACGGAGCTGTACGTGTCGGCCGATTCCAGTGTTAATGAGGCCTAAGTGTGGGTTGTATCCACCAAACATCTGTAAGCAGGGATTCGTCTAGAGTTTTTTCCATCCTATTGAGGAGAAGGATAAATGAGATGGTGCTTCATCCTTGGAAATACCATGTATAGGATCTGTAGCAAAAGTGGTCAAAATTGAAGTACCTTCTGAGAAATCAGTAAGTTAAGACGAAGAAAATACAACTGACCAGAGTTCGGTAGGTAAAAAATATGAAGTAAAGCATCTCACTGAGTCAGTGAGTTCATCTTCATGCTACCATGGCACATATTCGGATAGTGACCCCATGGGATCTCACATCTGGTAGGGGAAGTGGGAATCGGCCAATGTATGCAATTTGTCTTTTATGTAATGGGTTGCTTAAATAAACCAGATGTGAGTTTTTAGCCTATGAAGTTCATATACTAGGATTATGCTTTTAGTGGATGAATTTATCCATGTGCTACAGCAAGTTTTAGATTAGACAAAATAGAGGGAAAGGAAGAAGAAAAGAAAAAAGAGGGGGGGGGGGAGGCGGGGGGGGGGG